GCCGAGGCAGGTAGATAGCCTGAGCTCACAGGTTTGAGACCAGCCTGAGCCAGAGTGAGACCCCGTCTCCAAAAACAGCCAGGTGCTGTGGCAGGTGCCTGCAGTCCCAGATACTTGGGAGGCTGAGGCAAAAAAATGGCTTGAGCCCAAGAGTTTGAGGTTGCTGTGAGGTATGACACCAAAGCACTCTACCAAGGGCAACAAAGTGAGAATCTGTCTCCAAAAAAAAAGGAAGAGGAAAAAGAAGCTATCTTACAGAAAACCAAAGACAAGTGATGGAGTGCCGGAGTTGAGTATTCCCTGGATGCAGTTGGTCGCTAGGTCCGGCTGCTATTGTAAAAAGGATTCAAAGTGTTACAGGAGCCAAAATTCACTCCTTTGGCCTCGGCTTATTCATGATGGGTTTATATCCAATGGAGCTATTATACAGAACATTTCCATTTCTGCTTCTCCTTCACACCATTCCACACAACCTCTACTCCTATCCTACTCTGCTGCTCACACTTCTTCGGACTGTTCCCCCATTTGTACCCCGTAGGCCTTTCCTCTGGGCTCTCTCAGTTTGGAATATCTTTTCCCCTTCTTACGAGTTTGTCAAAAAAAGTTTTTTTTGAGACAGGGTCTCACTAAGTCACCCTTGGTAGAGTGCCATGGCACCAAAGCTCACAGCAACCTCAAACTCTTGGCTTAAGTGATTCTCTTGCCTCAGCCTCCCAAGTAGCTGGGACTATGGGTGTCTGCCACAGCACCTGGCTATTTTTTTGTTGGAGTTGTTATTGTTGTTTGGCAGGCCCAGGCCAGGTTCAAACCCACCAGTGCCGGTGTATGTGGCCAGTGCCCTAGCCATTGAGCTACAGCCCCCAAGCCAAGTTTGCCAACTTTTATTTGCCCTTTGAGACCCAGCTTTAAAAGACCCCTTCTCAAGAAAGCCATCCCTGACTACCCTGAGCCAAGCTTTCCGTGTCCCCCATTGTCCTCTCATGGCTTTTTATAAGTGCCCTCACCACCTAGCATCCCGGTGACCCAGCTTCTTGACTGCAACCTTGGCTAGACTGTTTTCCCTCCCCCTGACCCCAGTGCCCAGCAAAGTCCTAGCACCAAGTGAGTATGATAAATGTTTCCTGAATGAGTGAATAGATGAGTGAGCATCCTTTTCCCCTTCATGCCACTGCTCTGAGTCAGTGCTCAGTTTCTATCAAGAAGAAAATGTGGGAGGAACTGTTGAGTCCCTCTATTCAAGGGTAATGGATTCAGAAGGGAAGAAAACCCAGCAGAAATGGGGCCATTGAAAAGTCCAGGGGCGTCTATGAGAGGTCAGCTTCCCGCCAAAGCATTGATGGTGACAGCTTTGAGCTGAAGCAGTTTGTGTGGGGAGCAGTGCCAAGACAAGCAAACATTTGGTGGCATTGAGCTTTTCAGCAGCAGAGGATTCTGTCAGCCACACAGGAAGAAGCATCTAAAAGGCATCTATCTGGGTCTGCCTGGAATCAGGGGTCCCCATCTCCTTGAGCACAGGGAATAAGGCAGACACCCCCCTATTCATTCTCAACATAGGCAAATACTTCCTCTAATGGAGTTCTGTCAGGACACTGGGCACCGAGAACAGAGTCAAAGATGACTATTAGGTAACAGGCAGAGAAAATACTGCTTACTAAACAGCCTATGTTATCCCTATGTTGTCCAGCCTCCCTGACAGTTAGGTTAGACTCATGTGACAAGTTCTGGCTGATGGTCTGTGAATGTAAGTACCATGCGTCATTTCTAGCATGAAGTATTTAATTGCTCGTGCACAATAATCCAGCTCTCTTTCTCCTATTGAGGAGATCCTGAAAGCCTTGTGCTGAGAGAGCAGAGGCCAGGATGCAAGTGGCCTGGATCTCTGAGTTACCCAGTGGAACGAACACATACCCGGTTTTCACAAGTAGGGAAAAAATACACCTTTTTTTTTTGATACAGAGTCTCACCATGTCGCCCTCCGTAGAGTACCTTCATGTCACAGCTCTCAGCAACCTCAAATTCTTGGGCTTAAGCAATTCTCTTGCCTCAGCC